CGTAAGAATTAACCAATCATGATTAATTATTCTTCTATAATTCGATTATGATTGGTCTATTTCTTAAAGCTTAAAGCTTATTACATCTATTGTAGATTGGGACTAACAGTAACCGTAAGACGTAACATAAGAATTGACCAATCATGTTGAGAATCGTCGAATCGTAAGGTCGCCATTTTTATGAATACTCGATCGTAATTGGTTAATTTTACGTTACGTCTTACGGTTAAGCTGGCCACACACACTTTTCGTAACAGTTAAGCTGGTGGCACATAGAAAAACTTAAGCAGTAAGAGGTAAGCAGTAAGCGAATCAGCCAATCACAGTCGTTGATTCTTGGACCGTAAGAAGAATCAACGACTGTGATTGGTCAATTTGCTTACTGCTTACATCTTACTGCTTAAGTTTTTCTGTGTGCCCTTGTGGCTTCTGCACACAGGACGCGGTAATGCTTGTCGCGCGGCGGAAGTCCGCGCGACAGCCAATCAATATGTTGTTTTTCCGTAAGAGCTAGAAGGTTACTACGGAAAGCAGCATATTGATTGGCTGTCGCGCAAACTTCCCCCGCGCGGCAAGTATTACCGCGTCCTGTGTGCAGAAGCCATTAGGGCCTCCACACAGCACTTGACATAACAGTAACATAAAGCGTCTTCTACAATGGCAGTAGGAGTAGTAGTAAGAAATAAGCAGTAAGCAAATTGACCAATTCCATTCTCACGTTTCAAAAATAATCGATTGTGATTGGTCTATTTACTTACTGCTTATTTCTTACTACTACTCCTACTGCCATTGTAGAAGACGCTTAAGACATATCGTAAGAATTGACCAATCACGTTGAGAATTGTCTAATCGTAAGGTCGCCATTTTTATGAATACTCAATCGTAATTGGTCAGTTCTTACGGTACGTCTTACGTTACGGCTACGGAAATTTGTGTGGAGGCCCTAAGGGCCTTCACACATAAATTGACATAACAGTGGGTGCTTTCCAGTTGCGTACACTGTGTTACACAAAATCAGTTTATTGGTTGCATATTATCTTACAAGATATTTTAGATAATATGTGACCAATAAACTGATTTTGTGTACGTGTGTGTCAAGATGTGTTAAGCAATTGGAAAGCATCCAGTAACGTAAGCGTACCGTAAGAATTGACCTATTTCAATCGAATATTCATCACATGGCGACCTTACGCTTAGACAATTCTCAACGTGATTGGTCAATTCTTACGGTATATCTTACGTTACGGCTACGGAAATTTGTCTGTGGAGGCCCTAGAGATCTGTCTACAATGGGATTGGCAGTAACTGAGACAAAAGCAGTAAGCGAGTTGACCAATTACAGACGATTATTACAAGAATAATCGACTATAATTAGTCAATTTGTTTACTACTTACGTTTTACTGCCTACTTCCAATCCCATTGTAGACGGACCTTAAGGCCCGATCTACAATAGATGAAGTAAGAAGTAGGAGTAGGAGTAAGAAATAAGGTCCGATCTACAATAGATGGAATAATGACTCCTGCACACAGGACGCAGTAATGTTTGTCGCGTGGCGGAAGTCCGCACGACAGCCAATCAATATGTTGTTTTTCCGTAAGAGCTAGAAGGTTATTACGGAAAGCAGCATATTGATTGGCTGTCGCGCGAACTTCCGCCGCGCGGCAAACATTACGGCGTCCTATGTGCAGAAGTCATAAGGAGTAGGAGTATTCGTATGTACTTGACCGGAAAAAAACTCCGGTTGGAAAACTATTCTTTTAAATCGTTTGTATTTCTTATGAAGAGTTTTGAAGTGCAATTGAAAAGATTTGTGAGTCATTTTATTACTTGTAATTAATTGTTCTTTTTTGGACCATGTATTTAGCCGGAAATAATGACTGGAGATAAATTAAACAAAGGTTCGGTATGGTATCGTTTATATTTCGTATGAAGAGTTATGAAGTATCATTAAAGAGGTTTGTGAGTCATCCAGATAATTTTAATTAAATATAAAAAAATCATGTATTTGGCCGAAATATCGATCTCAAGCGCTGTGTGGAAGTACCGTCAGGCACGAACGGTGTACTATCTAGTATTTCAATATTCCTGGTTCTTTTTCGGGTATTATGTACAATAAGGTCTTTTTCGAATTTTGATATCTTTTTGCAGCTCTTTTGGTAAAAATATTTATTTTGACTCCAATATTGATAATCAATCGGGGGAGTTCAAAAAATATGCAAGTTATATATTGTTTTAACTTTTTTTTATTTTTTTTCACTTGTCGAACGTTGCTGTTTTCCCACAATTTAAACAAGTTACTGATCTTTTAATCACATTGGCTGCATTCAGCAGACTCAACAGTTGCACAACAGTTGAGTAATTTGTCAATGTAATTGGTCTAGATTTAGGGATCTAATAGCAAGAACCAATAATCGTTGATTGCTCACTGAGCGCTTTTTCTACTGAATGCGCTCATTATGTAACTGCAATATCGAACGACTAGCGGGGGGCTGTGCCCACCGCATTCCCACTCAAAACTAACTTTTTTTTTTTTTTTTTTTTTTATAACCCAGGGGAAATGCGTTACGCATCCCCCGGAGGCTCGGGTAAGCCTCCGGGGGTATGTGGGACTCCCTCCCCTAGAAAATGGGGGAGGTATACCCACTAAAACCCCTGGGGATGTCCAACACGTGCGCCATAATTCGAGGGCCCCCCGGTACACTTTCTAGTATTCTTCAGGGGGCCCTCGGCGCCTTCGCGCTCGCGCGCTTCTTCCCGCGCCGGCCTAGTCGGCCGGCGCTTGTATTCCTATTTGGCTACGAGGAGGGGACACCTTCCTCCTCGCAGCCCCTCCCTCCGAGTCGGGAGGTTGGGATGGGCCGAGAGCGGGATTACCCGCCCGCTCCCGACCACCTCCCCTGTCCCTAACCCTCGAGGGGAGGTTAGGTCTGCCCAGTGTGCGGCTGACCGTTACCACCCCCCGAGGGGGGGAGTCCGCCAGTGGGCCGCCCCTGGTACTGAGCGGCCCGGGCAGGCGCGCTGATCGCGCCCGCCTACGTGTCCGGGCTTATGCCGGGACACGAGTTAGGGCCTTTTAGTCCTCCTCTTTTTGCCGGACGGTGCCGCCCCCGAGAGTGGGGGAGTGGTTACTCCTCAGAACCTCCCGAAGGCGAACACCGCCCTGCTTACCCTCATCTGGCCCCGCCAGCTCCCCCCAATTGGTACAGGGGGAGCTGGTGGGCCCTCAGCCGCCTACCCCTCCTCGGCCTCAGTACCCGAGGTGGGGGGGTTTCCTCCTCCTCCTCATCACTCCCCCGCCCCGACGGGGCAGGGGAAGAGGGGGGAGAGGGGGGTGGTGCGACCCCCACCTCTCCCCTCCTCACGCGCTCGGCGGCCTCCTTCTGCGACATGACGTCGCGACAGAAGGAGGCTACCGCCTCCCATGCTTCCCGGCTCTCGAGCATCTTTGGTATGATGCTCGGGAGCCGGAGATCCTGGCCAACCACTGTGGTGAGGACTCCGCGTTCCTGAGCCCACGCTGGGCACACTCAAAACTAACCTAACCCAACCTATCATCGCATTAGTTGTTAGTTATTGTTTATTAAAAAATTATTAAGAAAAAATGTTGAACACTTTAATAAATAATGACTGATGGTTAATGTGACGATAGATTGGGTTAGGTTAGTTTTGAGAGAGGTTGCGGGGGGCGTAGCCCCCCGCTAGTCGTTCGATATTGCAGTTACATAATGTGATTAAAAGATCAGTTACTTGTTTAAATTGTGGGAAAACGGCAACGTTTGACAAGTGGAAAAAAGTAAAAAAAAAGTTAAAACAATATATAACTTGCATATTTTTTGGATTCCCCCGATTGATTATCAATGTTGAAGTTAAAATAAATATTTTTACCAAAAGAGCTGCAAAAAATATCAAAATTCGAAAAGGGCCTTATTATACATAATTACCCAAAAATGAACCATGAATATTGAAGTACTAGATAGTACACCGATCGTGCCTGACGGTACTTTCACAGCAGCGCTTGAAATCGATATTTCGGCCAAATACATGATTTTTTAATATTTAATTAAAATTATCTGTATGACTCAAAAACCTTTTTAATGATACTTTATAACTTTTCATACGAAATACAAACGATACCATACCGAACTTTTGTTTAATTTACCTCCGCTCATTATTTCCGACTAAATATATGGTCCAAAAAAAAAACAATTAATTATAAGTAATAGAATGACTCACAAATTTTTTCAATTACACTTCAAAACTCTTCATACGAAATACAAACGATACCATACCGAACTTTTGTTTAATTTACCTCCGCTCATTATTTCCGACTAAATATATGGTCCAAAAAAAAAACAATTAATTATAAGTAATAGAATGACTCACAAATTTTTTCAATTACACTTCAAAACTCTTCATACGAAATACAAACGATACCATACCGAACTTTTGTTTAATTTACCTCCGCTCATTATTTCCGACTAAATATATGGTCCAAAAAAAAAACAATTAATTACAAGTAATAGAATGACTCACAAATTTTTTCAATTACACTTCAAAACTCTTCATACGAAATACAAACGATTTAAAAGAATAGTTTTCCAACTGGAGTTATTTTTTCGGTCAAGTACATACAAATAGTAGGAATAGGAGTAAGACGAAATGGAAATAATTTATTTCGCTTAGACCCGACCCAAGTAACATGTGTGACTATTTGCCCGTCGACAGTCGGCTTTTCCGTTTTATACAGTCAACTTACAGTCGACTGTATAAAGTCGGCAATTAGTCCACAATTTTAAGTCTGGTATTGGCTGACTTCAACAGTCGACTGTAAACTGGCTCACAGTCAATCATTTTGAGGACCTTAAAAATCGACTCTTGGTTTGCCGGCTAATAGCCGGCTTTTCTCAGTCAATTTATAGTCGACAATGAAAAGTTGAAAATTAGCCGGTTATTTCAAGGCAAGTCTTGGCAGACGTCATCATTGCTAGTTCGCCGCGTTGCCGCGGAACGTTTTTGGTGACGAGCTAAGTACAGCCCGTCGTTAAATGAGCCCTTGTTCCCCTTCTGCGGTTCGTAGTGATACCCTGCCCAGCACCGCGGGCACGTAATACGCTCGAGCACCGGGTGTACGGGATGACCACGATTTCCAGGCCACCGTTCGTCATAAATGAAAATTAGTGTCAAACTCGAAAAGTGCAGTAAGACGCGCGCGAGCGACGAGGCGCGATATTGGAACGGTGACCGCGCTCGCCCCGATTCTCCGCTATACGTCGCCGTACTCGGGTCGCCGCGACGAGGTTATGTCGCGCGTTCGTCCCTTGCCGTCGTCCCCGACGCAACGCGCGCGCTCGCAGTGAATAGAAATTAATCTGTGATTTGTTATTTGTAGTGCTAAAACCGAGCCGGAGAGGTTAGGCAAAGATCTGGCACTCTCCTCCAGTGCAGTGTGTGGCTTCACCGGAGAGCGTCCACCAGGTGTTTGCCGCTCCGGATCTACCTCACGAGGAGAAAGAGAGTGTGCTTCACTTCCCACGTCCGCACCTACCGACTCGGCTGCACACAGAAAGAGGAAAGTAATGGAGAAGCACCGGTCAGTGGTTGAGGAATCTCCGCTGAGCTCAGTCAACAGAGGAACTGAGGACGGATGTCGCCCTTAGGATATCCACGACCACGTCACCCTTGGTAATCTTTCCGCCTCCTTCTCTATCAATTTAATAATAAGTTGAGTGAGCACAGCTTTGGCAGAGACTCAGTAATATGGTCCTGCTGGCTCCTCTGCCAAGCCAGCCACGCACTAACACACTCAAATAAATTTTGGAGAATTTTCTGTTAACTGAGTTCTATTTGATATAAATAAATATATCTCTAAGCTTGCTTCCAGTATTTTAGTTGTATATTTTATTTCCTTCCAGCTCCTGTCACTTAACTCACCGCTAGGCTGTGAGTACGCAGCGTATAGTCAATACTCTTCCTATTCACTAACAAATTTAACCAAATAGTGCTCTGAATTGCAAGTACTACTAGGAAACTGGAAGGACACACACTGGAAGCCTGCTGCACCGCTACAAAATATAATAACCTCCCAGACAGCAACTGTCAAAGTGACAAGTCACCGCTGTGGAGATTAGGTATGTTTGTGACCCTGTGACAGGCAAAGGTATTATTGCAGCTGCACAGAAAAAGGCAGCGACGGTCACAAGCATCCATGCAACTAAATAAAGCAGTCACAGTGCAGCAGTGGCCCGGAGATATGTAGGAGAGAGAAAAACTACTGCCATATATTGGTCGCTGACAGTAGTCGCAGACTCACTGCTGACTCTACACACCTGGTAAGTCTCTGCGTACTATTATCACAGAAATCGCATCTTAACATGTAATAATACTGTGATTTATACCAACTACTTCAACATTATACCTATTTCAGCACAAAAAAAACCAGTATCTATAAAACATGCATGTCATTGTATGTCACCGCTGTTTCTATTAGTGCAACATTGATGTGCCTCTCATGGGTTTTCTCATTGGCACCATAAACTTTCACTACTGTTTTTAGCGAACAAACCATGTGTGCGTGAAAGTCGAACGTTATTATAACATAAATTTAGACTTTAACATGTGACGTGCCAGCGACAACCGTCATACGTCCAACAAATAGTTTTAAGGTCTAATTAACAGCTACCTCCGCCTAATTAATTTAAAGTAATTAACATCGGTAACACTAATTAGCGCACCGCGTGCCAATTAATTAGTAGATAAATAAATAAATGCCGTTATTAGCAGGCATAGAATCTTTGTACAATTCGCCTCGACCAATCACAGCACAACACCGGCAACATGACATTGTGCTTCTGCTTGCACTGAAAACATTCTTTCTCCTGTTTACCGTACAGAACTCAGAATTTTCATACAACAATCTACCTATCGGACTTAGGGTATTACTTTTTAATGCACTAACACTCGCGATTATCCTATGAAAGATAAATTCCTTCGGTTTAAACAGAACTAATTCTCTTTCTTAAATTTCTACCCGATTTCCTCTCTTCGTAGTAAATATCCCTAACCGTCCCGACGACCTTCAACGATTCGAACTGCCGGACTAAGGACTTTCTGAGAACATTAATAAAGAGATAATTCCAATGTCTCTGGACAAATCACCAAGCGTTTATTCTGTTCTACAAATATATAAAGCGTTTCTCGCGACTTATACTATGACTTCGTACCGAAATACCGCCTATTATCTAACGACTCTTCCGACTCTTAATCGACTTTTCGACGACTCTCTCAATCGACTTCTCGTTTTCCCCGCGCCCGTGAGAGTGTGTTTCTCTCGTCTCGAATCGGTTTTTAGCTTCTTCTTCTGGATCTCTAGAAGCTTCTCGATGTTTCCCGAATCGGTCTCGTTTCCGATCCTGCGCCCTTTGTGCTATCGAACTTGCGCGCGCTCTCCACGATACTATCGATATCGGTTGCTCGCGTAATCGATAGTCGAAGGGCGCTACCGCTCCCGGCTGCTGGCGCCACCATGCGGCGCTCCAATTCGTAATCTTTCACCTATATGTCTATATTCTCATACGCAATTGACTAATACTTTAATTCGCTTTCTCTTTACTGAGATTCTAACTTTTTATCATTCTGTCTACAGGGAAACAACGAGCCCTGGACTTATGGCTCCTGCACACAGGACGCGGTAATGTTTGCCGCGCGGCGGAAGTTTGCGCGACAGTCAATCAATATGCTGCTTTCCATAATAACCTTCTAGCTCTTACGGGAAAACAACATATTGATTGGCTGTCGCGCGGACTTCCGCCACGCGGCAAGCATTATCGCGTCCTGTATGCAGGAGCCATTAGCGATGTGAATCCTGCATAAACTGTGTATAATAGTGATATATTTAAAATATAATGAAAATATATTGCTCCAGTTTTTAAAAATGTTAATATTTTATGAATAAACTGTAAAAAATGAAGCTAGCGGAAAGGTGACTGAAAACTGGCTGAAAGTCGACTTACAGTCGGCGGAAAGCCAAGAAACGACCGGCTTTCTGTTGGGATTTAAAGTCGGCAGAAAGCTGGCAAAAGAAAGAGTCGGCTTTTAGTCGGCTGCAATGGCTTCCTAATAGACTGCAACTATCAGAACATTTGTCGACTGTTAATCGACTAGCAGCCGGCAATCAGTCAGGTTTTGCAGTCGGCTTTAGACTTCTTTTGCTAGCTTTTTGGCCGACAGTCGACTTGCTGTTGCTTGGGGATCTACAATAAAGTTTGCCCGTCTACATCACATGGAGTAAGCCTAAATTAAATAGTAAGAGCTGAAGTAAGGAGCTGGAGGAAGTAAGTGAATAAATTATTTTCATTTCGTTTTACTCCTACTCCTGCTCCTTACTCCATCTATTGTAGATCGGGCCTAAGCAGTAAGTAAACCAAACCAGTAACAGACCAATCACAATCGATTATTTTTGAAACGTGAGAATGGAATTGGTCAATTTGATTACTGCTTATTTCTTACTCTTACTCCTACTCCTTACTCCATCTATTGTAGATCAGACTTAATCGTAAGACGTAACGTAAGAATTGACCAATCATGTTGAGAATCGTCGAATCGTAAAGTCGCCATTTTTATGAATACTCAATCTCAATTAGTCAATTCTTACTCCAGATAGCCAAACCTGCGCGAACAGATTTCAAGCAGAGCTTGCTATCAACTTTTGATGGCAAATAGATAACAAATTTGATACTGGATCTGTTATATCAAATCTTGCTACCAAATTGCCGCCAAATATGCGGCAGAGCTTGTTGGCGGATAATTGCTGCAGATTTGTAGCAAAAACCGCGCAGAGCTTGTAGCGATTTGACGGCAGATTGGCGGCAGAAACCGCGCAGACCTTGCTGCGCTGCAAGCTTTGTGCGGTTTTTGTTGCAAATTTGGCACCAATTGCCCGACAGCAAGATCTGTCGCCAAAACCGTAGCCTAATATAGACACAGATGGCTATGGGTTTTTGATCAAATTTGCTGTCAATCTGCGCGCAGTCTGCGCTCAATTTGCTTACTGGGACGTTACGTCTTACGGTTACTGTTACGAAAAGTGTGTGTGGCTGGGTGTATATCAGTTGGACACGGGGCAATTGGACACAGTCCAATCACAAGTCGCTGTTCCAAGGGACCCTACAAAAGTCTCTAATCACACGGTGCTGTGATTGGCTGTGTCCAAATGCACCGTGTCCAAGTGCACCGCTCCCGTGTGGCTAGCTTTAGGCCTGATCTACAATACTCCTTGTCTACAACTTTGCTGTAATTCTTAAGCCGTAAGAAATTGACCAATCACAGTTAATTATTTTTAAAATAATCGACTGTGGTTGGTCAATTTATTACTGCTTAAGGTGCGGGTTCAATGTGAGATCTATGGACATAGTATACATGAACACAGGAGCAGATCATGAGTTCGTTTCACGAACAACAAAGGGTAATGTATCATACTTAAAGTGTATTAATATTTTATCTTAAATTTATACTTAGATGTGAGATTTTCAGCTGAATCAAGATTATATATAATATATCACATATTTCATACGGTTCAATTAAAATAAATTAATTAAGCTCTTTGCAATCTTTGATAATTGCAATCTGATGATCTGACGTGAGACAAGTTTCAAGTAATAACTATTAATGCAGGTTTCTTGTTTAAGGAGAGCTTGAGAATCTCAAATAATTAATAAACTGAAATAATATGAGTAGGTATGATAGGCCGGTTCTAACCCATGGTCCTCCGAGAGGGGGTGAGGGGCGGGGGGGAAGGCTACCAGGGGGTATGACGTCACCATTATGACGTCACCGCGGAGGCGGGGGTTATCATCGATCGGTAATTGGGGAGGACATACTGATGTTACCGACGGTCGGTAATTTTACCGATATTATATAACATTTAATTACATAATTTTTACCAACAAATAATTTTTACCAACATATAATTACACAATACCGACGATCGGTAATTAATTACTGATATTATATATCAACATTTAATTTTTTACCAACATTTAATTTTTTACCAACATTTAATTTTTTACCAACATATATTTACATAATTTTTACCAGCATATTTACATAATACCAACGATCGGTAATTTATTACTGATGTTATATATCAACATTTAATTACTTAATTTTTACCAGCACATATATATTTTTACATAATTTTTACCAGCATATTTACATAATACCAACGATCGGTAATTTATTACTGATGTTATATATCAACATTTAATTACTTAATTTTTACCAGCACATATATATTTTTACATAATTTTTACCGTCATATTTACATAATATCGATGATTGGTAATTACCGATATTATATAATTTTTCTATCTGCTTTCGATAGTTCATTTTATCGATTTGCGGCGGTTTTCTCGCGGCGGTTCCCGCGGCGGTTTTGCGGCGGTTTCCGCAGCGGTTTTGCACCGTCCGCGCCGCCCGCGCCGCCCGCGCATTTCGCAGCGTGATTTTTTTAGTCATTTTTTTAGCTGCAAACTCTAATATTCTGCAAACGTATGCATTCGACAATTAGATGCGCAAGAAAAAGAATGTGACACATGATATTCTTATTACTAATGAGCACGTACACTGTGTCCCCGCGACAAGATTTTGCGTGTTATACATCATGGATAATATGTTATGTAAAAAATGGGAATGAAACGGTAAAGAAACGGTAAAGAACGGCAATGAAACGGTCAAGAAACGGTAAAGAACGGTAATGAAATGGTAAAGAAACGGTAAAGAACGGCATTGAAACGATAATAAAACGGTAAAGAAACGGTAAAAACGACAAAGAACGGTAAAGAACGGTGAAAAAACGGTAAAGAACGGTAAAGAAACGGTAAAGAACGGCATTGAAACGGTAATAAAACGGTAAAGAAACGGTAAAAAACGGCAAAGAACGGTAAAGAACGGCATTGAAACGGTAATAAAACGGTAAAGAAACGGTAAAAAACGGCAAAGAACGGTAAAGAACGGCATTGAAACGGTAATAAAACGGTAAAGAAACGGTAAAAAACGGCAAAGAACGGTAAAGAACGACATTGAAACGGTAATAAAACGATAAAGAAACGGTAAAGAACGGTAAAAAAAGAAACGGTAAAGAACAGTAAAGAACGGCATTGAAACGGTAATAAAACGGTAAAGAACGGTAAAAAAAATACGGCAAAGAACGGAAAAGAAACGGTAATGAAACGATAACGGCTACCAAAAATCATAAAAACGATTACCAAAACGGTGTATTCCAATATTTATATCAAAAGTGCAGTCCAAAAGTATTCATGTAAGATCTCTCTCTTATGCGTCACAATGTAGCATTTAAGTGAAGTATTTATGTAAGATTTCTCTCTCTTATGCGTCACAATATAGCATTTAAGTGCTGTCGCATCGATTTGTCGCATCGATTTGACAATAAGATGCGCAGAAAAATGTGAAACAAGATACTATTACGAAGG